TGTTTAGCCTATGGTTTGGTGTATCCATTATAACGCTGTCCAATGTTTTGCTGGTTGGGTGCCGATACATGTGCGCCAAAATTACGGTTTGTTTTGTTAAATGTTGTAATGTTTGTAACAATTATCGCGTGAATCGTGTTATTAAGCCTAACATAAATTTACAGTTGTTTGCTGTGAAAGAGGTCACTATTGTACACAATGTGGTGAAATAAATGTTGTGTAACATAAATAAATAATTGTTGTTATTGCCATATTTGTAACAGTTTCATCTACCATAATTTATTTATATGTTTTGTCATTAATTTTTAGGCACACTAAATATTATAAGTGTAATCAAAATGATAAATTATTAGGTTATTTAGGTTATAAATGATTAAGTTATTTAAAACAAAGCCAACAAATTTTTATTTTGTTTTCTCAACTAAAAATTAGTAGATTATTTAAAAATTTATTTATTTAATTTTATTTGTATTATATTTACTCATAATTTAAAATATTTAAACTGCAAGTATTAAAAATTAAATAAATAAACAAAATTACTTTTAAATAATTATTTAATAGTTATATGTAAAAAGTGTTTAAATTTTACACTTTACGATATATTCAATATTAAACCTATGGTCTAAGTTGGTAATTTATTTAACTATCTCAATTTATTCTGAACCATTTGTAAATGAAACTAATTTATTTATACCATGATGATGTTTATACACTAGAATTCAATTGCTTTTAGTTTATGATCAAATGATTTTTACTAACGCGAGCTTTCGGTCAAATCATTTTTACGTTCAGTCAATTCATTATTACACATATAGCGTAACGCGTAGACACTGACTGTACAGTCTGTGCAATGACTGCATGCATTTCATACAACTCTGACTCATGTAATAATGAATTGACTGAACGTAAAAATGATTTGACCGAAAGCTCGCGTTCGTAAAAATCATTTGATCATAAACTAAAAGCAAATGAATTCTAGTGTAAGTTATATAATATGTGTCTTTCAATGTTTTAACATATGAAACAAAAACTTAAAGAATATTGAATTCTTACTGTTTATATTAATTAAGACTATCTATTTGTATAGATATAAAAATGATTTTAATTGTGTGGTTAAATACATGATTGACTTAACATTTAGCTACAGATTTCCACCACGTTGTTGGCGATTATATAAATAGTGTTGTAATGTATTGTATTGAGGATTCAGCAAATTCTGCCTATCATTGGCCGCCCAATGACAGCACTTATTGAAAATGTGGCCCTTTTTGGTCAAACATTTCTCAAATTTAAGCATCAATTTTTCGCCAAAATGAGGCATTTTATCCCTTCCTATGAATAAGTATTTACATTAATTACTAGACATATAAATAGATATATAATAATTATAAGACAACTGACCATAAAAGGGTAGTTTCTGATTGTGGGCGCGATTCGTGTTCCGCTCCAATATATTGAAGCCATAGAACATCGCGTGGCAGTGATAGCCCTTATCACCCGCTATCTGGCCTAACATACAGCACGCCGTGTCCTTATCCATCGATTCTGTCCACACAATTAGTTACAAATTATCATCATTATTCAATCACTACAATTATAGTGCAATGTATCTGCGATATAGCATTTGCGCCATACCTTTAACATGTTTCAGGCTTATAGTCGTCGGCAATTGTTTGATAACCTTTCGGTAATCAATGGTCTCATTGTTTGCATCTGTGCTATAGTTTCCGCTTTTGTCCAGAATTGAGTCTTTGTTGTCAATGCTCTCAATGCTGTCGTTTAGTGTTTTATGAATACCTGTTTTATATATAGTAAAAGTGTTTATTTAAATATTTATCGATAAAAATCTAGTAAAAGTGTGGAAAATATTCTGGACTTAATTCGCAATCACTGTTCAAAAAGTAAAGTGCATTTGTTTATTGATTAAATCTCTCGAGTACTTCCCAAAAAGTGATATTTGTAAGAATCTCCTGATATTTTACACCATATAATTAGTGGTTAAAATGCACTAAAAAAGTTCATTATCAATTTCTAAGCATTCATATAATAAACGTTCATTTTTATAAAAATTTTGATTAACAATAGAAAAGGAGAGTAAAATTTCTAGTCCAACAAAATTCAAAAATAACTAAATAATCATTAATTTTTAAAAATTTTATTTTGTGATATTTATAAAATTATTTCAAGTAATGATTGTTATTTGACATTTATAACTTAAATACTTTTATAAGTTAAAAATAAACTTATAAGAACAATAAATAGCCAAAACACACATAATAATAGTTTATAGTAAATAATTATCATAATATTTTTCCTGTACACTATTTAATGAATAATCAAGATAGTTTTTGCTACAAACATAATTTACATTACATTTTACAGTATGTTTAACTTGAAATATAGAAAACAATGCACTACATTAAATAATAATTAAAATTTTTATTATTTCAATTTTAACCGATTTTATTGATATTTGATTATTAAATCTCATTTTACTATTTTTAAGCCCTATTTTCTAACAATCATTTATTTTATTAAAAATCTAAAATTGGATTTCATGTCAGCCTTTGTTTTATATCCCAATCCAAGGCTATTAACAGCTATTTCTGTCTGAATAGGCTTTTTATCTTTGAGGAAATGTGTGTTAATTTGATTTCTTAAAAATAAAAGGATGTAATAAATAATAAAACAGTTATACTTGCCTTCAAAGTGATCAATATTTAGAGCACCCGACTCTCCAAACAAATAAATTATTGCTAATATTTTTACTGTTAAATACATATTTCACTTCTTTTGAGAACTTATTTTGAGATCCGATGCAATGAATTAAATGTTGTTATCAAATAAATGTTTTGTACCAATTGTTTAGTACAATGTATTTAACAATTTTTAAATAATAAGTTACAATTATATACTGTAATAATAATCGCTAACTATATTTATTTTATATAATTGTGCACAACATTTACTTTTTATACAAAAAAATAATTAATTCAGTTTACAAATAAACATTTAATCCAGAAGTGAAAAATACGGGAATATTCCTATGTTTATTAAAATGAGTCAAAATTTCACAAATCTATAACAGAGATAACTTTAAAAACTGAAATTACAAACTTAAACCATATGCCCACAAAGTTATAGCCATATATTCAGCTGATATTACATATGAATTATATTATCGATACACCAGTTGTAGTGGAAGAAGAGGGCGGTTAGTCTTCGGAGCGGTTCAACACTTAGATCTCAAATATTTGTGTTTTTCTTGAAGAATATATGAGAAAAACAGCCGTTTTATGATTTATGGAGTCATATAAATACGCCGATAAATGATGTGTTTATAATAATTGATTTGCATTTCTCTGTCACACATCTCCTCTGGTAATGACAGTACAATTTAGAGGCCATAACCACTTCTTCGTGACAAATATGATTGGATACTCAAATCTTATGTTTAGATCAGCAATAATATCGAGATTGTATTTACCATTCAGTTTGGTATGAATTCCTTGTATTGGATGTGAAATATTGTGATAAATATAGTATTTCTTAAATTATTTCACTACTAATCAGCGCCTAATCAATAAATTATCTATACTCTACATATACCATGCATTGACATTAATTTTTATAAATAAACCTCAATGTTAATTATGTGATCATTAAATTTAACCAAATATTTTTAACATAATTTATAAATGTAATAATTTTGCTTATTCCATCGCTATTTTACTTAACAACAAGATAGCTTTTATTTATAATTATAAGTATATAGAATTTATGTACGAGTTTCAAGGTATTATTGTGTTTGTAAATAATGTTTAAATTGCATAATGAATTGATGTAGCACCTTTGACCATATTTAACATTTACTTTTAATTTTATAAAATCACAAACCATTAATAATACTGTAAATACTTATAAATTTCCATTGAGTGTCAATCGGTGTGAAAGTAAAGAAATGTTTGTCAACTATTCATTTAATCAAAACATAACACAAATATATCTGAAATGTTTAAAATGTTTATTGACATGATCTTGATGACTTTTATTGATAAAATATACTACTCGATAATAAGTTTTAGTAATATAGATAACCCCGGTATAAGTGGTGTTATTTTTACCGTTAGTTTTCCTTAAATGCTAACCAATTGCTCAAAAATATATTTCAAAATTATATTTTATAAATAACTTTAAAATGTTAAATAACAAAACATATTTTTGTGCAAATATTTTGACTAAATTCCTGTCACATTCTACTTAATATTTTCATCAATGTAAAAACAATATTTAAATAAAGAGTAAATATTGTTTTTAAAATAAAAACATTATAAATAAGTTAAAACAAATGACATTGTGTATTTATATATGAACATTTATATATCAATATAAACATTTGTTTAAATAATAAATTAATTAAAACAAATTAAAAATTATATAATAATTACAAAACAGTTATGAAATACACGTTTTTATTATATTAAAAACAGTATAGTTTAAAGAACATGTGATTTGTTTTTTAATATATGTTTATTAGTAATAAATTATTACAGATTAGAGATTGTATTTAAGTTCATTGAATCCCAAGAAATCTAATATTAAGTTTCAGTGAAATAAACAAATATTTGGATTAACGCTCTTTGGATGCGATAAAAACCATTTAATTACTCGCAAAAGTAATTCACGGCAATAAATGAAACCAAAATATTAATAAAATTACATTCAATGAGATAAGAAAATGTTTTAATAGGTTTTTCAATAAATTTACATTGTTTTCAATACAATTTAAAATAAACTCATAATTTACACATTTTAAAACACATTACAAAACATTGATTAAATGCACGACAACCCAAACGACCCGTACATCCCCTTAAATATTGAAATAGTTTTCAAATGTTAAACAAGAATTGAATAAATTCTTGAAATTCCTATTCTTATAAATATAGCAACAAAACTAGTTTATTGAGACT